AAAAAAAAAAGACTTTCATATGCACTTTCTTTTTAATAACTTTACAAAATCCATAGACCTCAACTGAAGTGTTTTTAACTTTACATGCACTATTGTGACTTTTCCAGTTTCTTTATTCTATAAAGTAGGATGTTTCTTTGGATTTATCTATTAGGGATTTCAGCTTTAATACTTATTCCCCCTCACTTTAAAGGCAGGATGGTATAGACAAAACAATGAGCGGAACACTACGGGAAAAAAATTCTGAATGCTTAAATATCACCAAGTAAATATAAAATTGGTGGAAAAACCTAATAGAATACTCTCATTTGAGCAGCTTTAGAAAGGAAACAAAACAAAACAAAACATAACATCTACATCTAATTTCAGAGTCGGAATAAGAAAATCGAGGTTTAAGGACCAAACTCATAACCAGACATGTTCTCATAAACACTGGCTGTCAATCCATTCTGCTTTTTCCTGTTTTGCCTTCTAGATGTTTCCTTAATTCTCATATGCTGCTGTTTCTTTAATTCTCATCTGCAGCCCAAAACTCATTAGAATTGAACCATCCCATTATTTAGAAACTTTATTTGTGGTCTACCATTTTCAATACTGAGCTACTCAAAATTGAGGTCAATTTATTTAAATTAAAGATAATAGCATGATAATTATGACATTTTTGCATTAATCTCAGTTGCCGTCTCTCTCTGTCTCTCTTTAAGAGCTAATAATCCTAAAGGACTGCTGGAAGTTCGAGAAGCTCTGGAAAAGGTACACAAAGTAGAAGACCTTCTTCCGATTATGAAGGTAACTTTATCATCAAAATCGCAGTAGACGTTTTTAGAGGAAAAGAAAACCAACAGCACTGTTAAAAAAGAACTCAGAATTATTAAATGCTATTTGAAATCACTAGTATGAACACGTTCTGAATAATAACCAAAACAAAGGAAAATACAGGCATCAGACTCAAACAGAAAAATCAACTTGCGAGGAAGCAGTTACTATAGAAACAGGAAGGCTTAAAAATACATATAATTGAATTCCACTTCTGGCCACAGCTGAGTAACTGGTACTCAGCTGCCCTTTTACACAATTGCAGTTATAAAACTGGACAAAATGGAAGTCAGTTGTTTTCAGGCATTGGCTAATTATAAGACTGTGATCCCACTGTCACCCCAGCTTTCTACTGGGAGTATTTATTAGACCACTGTACAGTAATCTGGAGCCCACGCAGAGTACAGTGGTCTTGCTAAGCTAAGCAGGTAGAGAGTGGAGTTTGGGTCTGCCAAAGTGGCTGGAATTTGCAGAGCAGAGTAGAAGAGAAGGAGGCCGTATAGGCTGGGGAGTGCCCAGGGGCCCTTTTCATCCTTGACTAAGACCTTGGTCATGAGCGCGCAGTGAAAGACTGTGAGAGACTCAGCAGAGAGTCACTGCTTTGGGGAAAAGAGCTGAGCAGAGGTGTCAGAGGTTTATGTGCGGAGGAGACACTGAAGTTCCAGCCTTGCCAGTGTGGATGGATCCTGTGAACACCTCAGGCATTTAGCTAAGACCTGAAGAAGGACACAGTGGAAAAGTAAGACCACACTCTACAGTAAGGCCCAAAACCTGGGACTAAGAACAATTTCTAAATAGACTGCCCTAAAAAAGAGTAAAACTAAGTCTGAAAGGATTAAATGGATCAGTTAGTGATTTGACTACCTGTGAAAACTCAGTGCCCTTTAAAGGAAGGCAAAATAACCTATACTCTTTAACTATTAAAGAAGTAAATGCCAGTTTGAATGTGTTCTCCCTAAAATTAATGTGTGGGAAATGGAATCCTCCATGCACACATGTTGGGAAGTAGAGCCTGATGGGAAGTGTTTAATGGCAGAGCCCTCATGAATGAATTAATGCCGTTATAAAAAGGGCTTCAGAGAGTGGGCTCTCTTGCCCTTCCACCTTCCGTCATGGGATGCAGCAGTAAGAAGGCTCACCTCAGACACTGGCACCCTGATCTTGGACTTCCCAATCTCCAGAATAAATCTCTGTTCTTTTTTTTTAGACAGGGTCTTGCTCTCTTGCCCACACTGAGTGACAGAGTGAGACCTGTCTCCTAAAAAAAAAAAAAAAAAAAAAGCTGGATACAAAAGTATGATTGTGTGATCCAGGTATACCAGGCAAATGCTAATGAGAAGAAAAGTCTGTGAGGCAATGTCAGTATTGGAAACATTTGAATTCAATGGGAAGGATGCTACAAGGAACAGAAATTATGTGACTAAAGTATAATCCATTAAGAAATTATAACTGTGTGAACCTTTCCTCCACCTAGGAGTAAAACTACCCCAAAACCATGCCAACCGCAGTTAGAATTGCTTTTCCAATTCGTGGTTTGAACACTAATGTGAAACCTGAGTAAATGTTTTTCTTGTAGCTATAGTAGATGAGATTGGTTCAAATAAAATTTAGGAGGTTTGTATGAATAAGCAAAGTATATCCATTTCTAAGGAATAATGAGGAAGTAGCATGTTGTGAACAGAGCTGAGCATCTGAACTTGGCCCCACATCTGCTTGGCTGGGTGTGTGAGCCTGTTTTACAATTGTTCCAGGCTTTTGTCTGCTGAAGAGCAGTGATTCTGGCCTGACCTACCTCGGGAAGTTCATTGTGAAGGTCTGATGCACTAACACAGTGGCCCTCAGCCTTCTCAAACCCACTGTGTTGACCCAGTAAGCACGTTCAGATGCCCCTTTTACTGAGTCCTTTATTGCGCTAGGATGAACGTCATAGAGAATATGTCTTACCCACTCACAATGTCTACACAAAGTCATCTCAGTATCTCAGTCCACACAATGTATCTCAGTCTGGAAATTTGGGCATGCCTTCTCAAGAAGCTGGAAAGCAGTAGCCAGTGCTTCACACCTACACGTAAAATCATGGTGAATGTGACAGTTACAAATCCAGCCCCATATCTCTGTGTTATTTGGTGAGCTACAATGTCATTGGCGATGTGGTTTTCTGAAATGGTAAATCACGCTTAGTAAAGTTCCAAGCTATACACAGTATACTCCTTACTCAATGTATATGCTATTTGCATTCCTGGCAAATTCAGTGTGTATGAAAACTATATAATAAATAGTGCTTAAGTGCAAAACAGAGTCTGGTTCCAGGCTCACATATTGATTAAATGATAAACACGATCTTCATCTGCATGAAAATCCAGTGGGACACTAGAAAATCATACATACTGTTGGACAGTCCCCCATACTGTGGGACATGTAGTAATCCTGGCTCCCAAATATCCAATCCCTATTATAATCAGTCTCCCATAAATTCCCCCAGTGCCCCCCAGAGGGCAGAATGGCTTCACCATGGGCCTTGAGATGTACATGTAGAAAGGAAACTTCAGTGTCGTGTGAGGTCTCTTCAGTGCATTCCTGTGGGTATTCTAGTTAGGCATTTAGATGTCCTGTGGTCTTAGGCAGAATACAAAATCAGCTTAGGGTGATTTTAATGCCTTATGTGTCTTTAAGAAGAAAAGCCGGGAGGGCTACAAGACTGTAGTCACTTAGCATGCAGCCTGAGAGACGCGGCATCACCAACCTCAGTGCCGCCTCTCAGTGTGAAGTCACCAACTGTTGTCTGGAAGACGTTTGTTCTCAGTGGTGGGATGACATTCCACTTCGGCATTATACATCAAGCTTTTACACAGGATTATGGATATATTGGTACTTTGCAGGGCACACACAGCGGAATATACAGCAAGATATTTGAGTGTTTAAAGTACTTGGTGAAATGTACCGGGTCTGCTTCCACTGAAAGGCACAACGGTGCTATTGATGAAAAACCAAGTTAACGTTCTATCAGTGCCCCCTTAGAGGAGGTTTATTAGCAAGTAACGTGGACTGGAATTCACCAAGGCCTTGGGCCCACGTTCTTACTTTGTGGCTTTCCCACTGGCTGGAACTCAGCCAGACTTTGCCTCACCTAGTTCGTTTCTCATCTATAAGATTGAGACCATACCTACTGTTATCAGTATGTCATGAGGATTAGATGAGAATCGTCACATAGTGTATTAGTGCATTTCTTCGCCTGAAGGTGTTTTCTTTGTTTTGCGTAAAAGATGCTTGCCTGTTCAGTGCCTGCTGTGGCCCTGATGGCCTGTGCCACTCATCCTCTGCCTTCTGGGCTGCTGGTGACACCTGCTGCATCTTTCTGTTTCTAGACAAGCTCTTCCTTCATGAACCATAGCTGTCTTTTATCTTGCTGTTGGTTATCTTAACTTCCAGTCCATCAATCAAAAAAAAAAGGCAATATTAAGTTAATTGAATTTGGGGGTCATTTTCCAAAACCTATATATTGCCATCAGAGGTTTGTCCTAAATATTTTAAACAGAAAGCTAACATCTGAAACTGTGTTCGTGCATTTATTACCCCAAGAGCCATTCTTAGCTCCAAGTAATTCCTTTAACTTAACCGACTTCTCTGTGGTCCGCAGAGTCCGGTGGGTGCGGGCGTGGGTGTGGGTGTGGGTGTGGTTGTGGGTGTGAATGAAGTTCTTCAGTTAGTAGATATAATCTTGAGTACTCTTCAGAAAAATCAGACTCTGCTCTGAGCATTAGTATGAACATAAGTTGCATTTTTGAATTATGGGATGTTGGGTACAACTATTCTGTGAATATTCAAAGTTGCTGCCTACTAAGATGGGCATGAGAAAACATTCAAAGGGAGCTCTTAGAAGTGAGCAGTGCCCCTTGTTGACGAAGAGAGCCTGTGAGCTTTTGGTGCTGAGGTTCTCCACTGATCTCAGGTAGGAGCTGTGGGCAGCATAACCTGGGCTAGATTGGGGCCTGAGGACAGGCAGAGATGTCCTTGGCCACTAATTGCCAGGACACCATCTCTTATATCAGATGACCTCCTTGGCCCTTCTTAAAAGCATGTAAGGTAGAGCCAGCACTACAGAGTTGCAGTCGGGGTTTACAGTGAATTAAACACTAGTAACGTGAATTTTCTTTTTCCCTGAAAGCAGTTTAATACTAAAACAAAGGATGGATTCACCGTGAACACAAAAGTTCCCAGCCTTAAAGATCAAGGGAAGGAATACGATGGATTCACAATCACGATTACAGGAGACAAGTATGTATGCTTCTTAATGTGGGTGTAGACTAGAGACTGGAGGCAGGAAGGGTGCCTGTGCTTGTCGCTGTAGAGTTTTGTTGCGTTGAGCTTTTGCTCCATCCTGAAATGAAAAGTATTGGCCGGGCGTGGTGGCTCATGCCTGTAATCCCAGCACTTTGGGAGGCTGAGGTGGGCGGATCATGATCACGAGGTCGAGAGATTGAGACCATTCTGGCCAACATGGTGAAACCGGTCTCCACTAAAAAATACAAAAAATAGCCGGGTGTGGTGGCGGGCATCTGTAATCCCAGCTACTTGGGAGACTGAAGCAGAGAATTGCTTGGACCGGGGAGGTGGAGGCTGCAGTGAGCCGAGATCACGCCATTGCACTCCAGCCTGGGTGACAGAGTGAGACTCCATCTCAAAAAAGAAAGAAAGAAAGAAAGAAAACGATCAAGGTCCAGTGAGCAGTTATAACTTGTTATTTTTTAAAATGTGACAGCTAAAGTATTATACCAGCAGATACATTTTCTAACTGTCTAAATCTAAGGACTTTAGAGGTACTAAATATGATATAGTTTGTGGAAGACATTTCTAGGTTCTTGAAGTTCCTTGGGGGGCGAGGGAGCCTTTTACTAATAAAATGAAAAAAGATGAGGAATAAAGTCCATTGTAGATTTAAATATATATATTAAATTTAATTATTAATGAGTAGTATAATCTTATAGAAAATTTAGAATATACAGATAAGCAAAATTAACAAAATAAAAATCAAGTTATTTTCTTTAAAAACTGAGGTTATACTATACCTACTGTTTTTTAACCTGTTTATTTTCTACCCTTACCATTACATTATCATGATCATTTCCCCAATCTTAAGAGTATTTTTAGTAACTGTATAATATTCCATTGTATAGATGCAGAATTTCTCTGACTGATCTTTTTGTTATTGACCATTTAGGGTGTTTCTCATTGTTTTACTTTATAAATAGCATGGCAGTGAACATTTTTATTAACTCTAGTTGTATTTTCATCTGAAATCCAAGCTTTGTCTATCAGGCTCCATATTCCTTGAATTGTGGGTGGAATTGCCTTGAGCTGTACGCGCACGCACACACGCATACCCACACACCCACACACACCCATACCCATCTTCAGGCGCATAGCCTTGGGAAGTGCCATGCCCTTCCCCTGGTTTCCACCTGCTCAGCAGTGAGGCTGTGACTCACATTCTCCGGCCCCCTCTGCCTCTTGGGCTCTGGCTTTCTCAGGTGCTTTTCCTCTAAACTACAGGGAGCCACCTCTTCAAGTTCCATATCAAAACTTAAACCGGCCTTCATGAGTAAACACCAGTTCAGCAACTTCCAGATTTTGGGGCTTTTCCATATCTTTGAAGTCTTGATCTTTACCCTAAGCTTCTTATCAAAGTATGTTCCCAATAAAGATCATTTTTCCCTGATTGCAGGGCGTGCTATATAAGGTAAAAAGCGTTCTCCTACCTTTTCACACATCCATGACGTGTATCCTCAGATCAGATTCTCAAGCAGAAATTTAATTACTAAATAAGTACAGTTGATCTTTGAATAACTCAGGGGTTAGGTGCATTGACCTTCCCATTCCTACCAGGCAAAAATTTGTATATAACCTTTGACTCCCCCAAAGCTTAACTGGTAGCCTACTGTTGACCAGAAGCCTTACCAAAAACATAAACCGTCGATTAGCACATATTTTGTATGTTATATGTATTAATGTTTTGTATTCTTACAATAAAGTAGGCTACGGAAAAGAAAGTGTTATTAAGAAAATCAAAGAACGCCACACAACTACAACCATCTCATCTTTGACAAACCTGACAAAAACAAGCAATGGGGAAAGGATTCCCTATTTAATAAATGGCATTGGGAAAACTGGCTAGGCATATGCAGAAAGCTGAAACTGGATCCCTTCCTTATACCTTATACAAAAATTAACTCTAGATGGATTAAAGATTTAAACATGAGGCCTAACACCATAAAAACTCTAAGAAAACTGAGGCAATACCATTCAGGACATAGGCATGGGCAAGGACTTCATGACTAAACACCAAAAGCAATGGCAACAAAAGCCAAAATGGACGAATGGGATCTAATTAAACTTCAGAGCTTCTGCACAGCAAAGAAACTGTCAATAGGGTGAACCAGCAACCAACAGAATGGGAAATAAATTTTGTAATCTACCCATCTGACAAAGGGCTAATATCCAGAATCTACGGAGAACGTAAAGAAATTTACAAAAAAAAAAATCATAACCCATCAAAAAGTGAGCAAAGTGACAAAACAGACACTTTTCAAAAGAAGACATTTATGCAGCCAACAAACATATGACAAAAGCTCATCATCACTGGTCATTAGATAAATGCAAATCAAAACCACATTGCGATACCGCCTCACGCCAGTTAGAATAGCGATCATTAAAATCAGGAGACAACAGATGCTGGAGAGGATATGGAGAAACAGGAATGCTTTTACATTGTTGGTGGGAGTGCAAATTAATTCAACCATTGTGGAAGACAGTGTGGTAATTCCTCAAGGATCTAGAAATAGAAATACCATTTGACTCGGCAATCCCATTACTAGTTATATACCCAGAGGATTATAAATCGTTCTATTATAAAGACACATGCACATGTATGTTTATTGTGGCACTGTTCACAATAGCAAAGACTTGGAACCTACCCAAATGCCCATCAGTGATAGACTGGATAAAGAAAATGTGGCACATATACATCATGGAATACTATGCAGCCATAAAAAAGGATGAGTTCATGTCCTTTGCAGGGACATGGATGAAACTGGAAACCATCATTCTCAGAAAACTGACAAAAGAACAGAAAACCATTAACACTGCATGTTCTCACTCATAAGTGGGTGTTGAACAATGAGAACACAAGGACACAGGGAGGCGAACATCACACACCAGGGCCTGAGGGGTGGGGGCCTAGGGGAGGAATAGCAGGGTGTGGGAGGATAGGGAAGGGATAGCATTAGGAGAAGTACCTAATATAGATGACGGGGTGATGGACGCAGCAAACCACCACCATGGCACGTGTTTACCTATGTAACAAACCTGCACGTTCTGCACATGTACCCCAGAACTTAAAGTGTAATAAATAAATTTAAAAATAATTAATTTAATTAAAATTTTTTAAAAGTCATAAGGAAAACATACTTAACTATGTGTTAAGTAGAAATGCATCGTCATAAAGGTCTTCTCATTATCTTCACATTGAGTAGGCTGAGGAGGAAAAGGAGGGGTTGGTCTTGCTGTCTCAGGGGTGGCAGAGGCAGAAGAAAATCCTCATATAAGTGGATCCATGCAGTTGGAACCCATGTTGTTCAAGGGTCAACTGTACATGAAGGTTCTCCCCTTGAAGTGTGACATCTTTCCTCACTTGCCTGTTTCACCCCACTTGCTTCCTCCCTTGCTTTGGGCCTCCTGACCCCTCGAGTAGACTCTGCCTGGCATCCCATTTCCTACCTCCTGCTTCACCAGCTTCAGCAGTGTTCCTAAAGCTCCACCTCACTGGGTGTTCCCCTAACTCCAGAAATCTCTCCCCTCTCCATACCTGGCCATTGCCTGTGGCTACAAAATCAGCTTCCCAGCCAGGCATTCCCGGTCTCTCACAAAGTGGCCTTAGACATTTCCTGCTTGACCTGGACCATCTCCCTGTTGGAACCTGGCCCGCTAGTCCGACCGGACTGTTTGTTCTCCAGTTCACCTCTGCTTTCCGACATCTGGGTCTCTGTCACTCCCATCCCGACCCACATTGAGGCCACTTCTCCCATGAGACCATTCCTGCTTTTCTCTGTGTTGTCCAAATTAGATTCCTTTTTTGATTCCTGATGAGCTACATTATGACCTGAATCATGGTCTCATCATAATTTGTGACCCTTGGTCAGAAGTGGTGGCTCATGCCAGCACTTTGGGAGGCCAAGATGGGAAGATTGTTTGAGGCCAGGAGTTCGATATCAGACTGGGCAACATGGTGAGACCCTGCTTCTGCAGCAGATTTTAAAAAATAGCTACAGGTACATACCTGTAGTCCCAGCTACTCAAGAGGCTGAGGTGGGAGGTTCACTTGAGCCCAGGAGTTTGATGCTGCAGTCAGCTATGATCACCCTACTGCTCATTAGCCTCAGTGATAAAACAAGATCCCATTTCTAATAATAATAATAATTTGTGGCCCAGTTTCTCCCTTCCTTCCTCAATCAAGGCAGCAGCTGGGCTTTTCTTTGTAGGATCCAAGGACTAAGTGCAACACTTTGCTGCTGGCGTTATACCAAAAAAAAAAAAAAAATGCCTGTTGTATCAAACTTAGGTCCTTCGTAGAACCTCAGTGGAGCTAAAGCATAAAAAACAAAACAGTGGTGAAGTCCTTGAACTTTCTTCCTACACACAGTTCTTGGTTCTGGCCTTTAATCCTAATGGGGTGGCATAGAAAATATTTACTGGTCGTTTAAATGTATTCTTTACTATGTGTAATTGTTCTCCCATATATTAGTTTAAGCTCGTGTAAGAAGTACATGTGGTTAGAGTTAACTGTGAGCAAATGAATCACTTAAAGGTGAGGCAACTGTCATATTTTATGAAGAAATAATGCATTCTTATGAAACCTGCCTTGCTTGTCTATAGTTAGAAAGGCAAGGTACATTCTTGTATATGTTTAGTGCCACATCAGCATGCTATTTGCTTTTTAAAAAAACTTTCTGCATTTGGCTGCTTGAACTTATAATACATGCCTTTGACACTTTTTTTTTGTACTTTCAGAGTTGGCAATATATTATTTTCTGTGGAAACTCAAACCACAGAAGAAAGGACACAATTATATCATGCTGAAATAGATGCACTTTATAAAGATTTGACAGCAAAAGGAAAAGTATTGATTCTTTCATCAGAATTTGGGGTAGGTTTCTCTTTGTTTCTATTTTTCTGTTTGTCCTGTGATTCCTTTGTAGACTTTTTGAACCTCTGCCCTTTCATTGAGATTGTACATCTTATGCTTGAAATCAGATTGAATTTGACCTAAAAATATTTCTTTTGAAATATTTTTATAGCCCCAAAATTCTTGTTTTTAGTAACTACAGTAACGGGAAGGATAATAAATTAATAATTTAGTACTGTGCTACAACATTATCCTAAGTTTGGGCTTTGAAACTGTATAAAAAAGTTGGTCCATAGTGAAAATGACCTGGCTGGGCTTCACCTTTTTCATCCATTTTCTTCCCTCCATTGTGGTTGTTGCTTATAACCATACATTTACAATGAGCTTTTGAATGTAAACTGGATGATGCATTCTGATGAGTTCATGGCAATGAAAGTACAATTAAATTGTGTATACTTTGCACTTAGTGGCCCTTTGCTGGTCTGTGGCCTCTTCCCTTGGTGTCCGCCCAGACTAGGTGTGGTGGTGTTGCAGGCAGCAGGGTATGGTGGACATTCCCCACCATGCCCCCTCCCTGTGTTCTGCAGTGGACGGATACCCCTTACCATTGAAAAGTCACCTTATTTTTCCAAATTTAATCATTTCATCCATATAATTAAGCATCTGAGTATATATACATAACTGAGCATCATCTAAATCTCATTGCAGAGTAGAGGAATTGCAAATTTTTTTTGTTTCTGAGAAACAATTTTTTTTAATTAAAATTTTAAAAGGCACTTATTAACACCAAATATGTTTTTTCAAAAATGTCTTTTTTTCTAGGAGGCTGATGCTGTCTGCAACTTAATCTTATCCTTAGTTTATTACTTTTATAATTTAATGCCGCTCTCTCGAGGATCCAGGTAAGTAACAGCCTGTCATTAAAATTATTTTAAATTGAGAAATGGGTTCTTTTTTGTTTATCCTTCCTGTTATGGTCATAGGTAGAGTACACCAAGAAATGGTAAGGGGCTCCCTATTTTTTTTCCCCAAATTCTACACAAAAAAATATTTCCTTAGTCTACCGCATCATCAAAAGAATTATAGAAGGCAGTTCTAATATAGTGTGCTTAAGTTTAACAGGATAGGGATTCATCCATTCAACAGAAGTTCATGGAAAGTTTACTGTGTACCATGGGTCGTGCTCAGCGTGTTTTTATTTTTGGTGTCTGCCAGCTGCTTACTGAACCTTCTCCTCTCTCTCCTCTATTTTGGGCTGTCAGGTGACCCATAATCCTCATGGTTTATACTTTTGGGGCACCAGTCACTCGTTACTATTTTTATTATTTTGGATAAATTCTTGCTACTTGTATGAGTACATCAAGAGTTTCTTAGGTGCCATTAGAAACAAGGGCTGTGACTGTAGAGTTTTCATTTCATTCTCCTTCTCCCAGTACTATGTGCAGTAAATCACATAAATGGCCTTTTGCCATTGCTGGCACATAGTTATTGAACTTAAGATGCGTAGGCTAAACATAATACACTTGAATGTCTTTATCTTTGATTAATGATTTAGAAAGTAAAACTCCCCTAAACATGGTAGTAAATTTGGTTATAGTATTTAAAACTCAATGAAACAAAATAGAAACATAAATGTTATCTAATCAGCATAATATTGCTGGTTGTATCCACTGAGTAAGTGATGTGAGTGTGGCCTGTGTGCATCACTGCCTGTGGGCCCCACATGCAGACACCGTGCAGAATAGCCAGCAACCTCCTTTGTTCTCACAGCAGCTCTGCTGGCTCATGTGTGACACCAAAGGAAGTGCAGCTCTGATGGTCCTCCACTCTCCCTCATCCCTACATCTCTTCAGTGCTACACAGCCTGTTGATTCCACCTCCCACACTTCTGTTTCTCTCTTTTCTAAGCCCGCTGCCTGCCACAGCTAGCTTTGCTCCTGCTCCTCTCCATGCCCCGAGGCTCTCCAGCACCTTCTGAAAACCGTGGGCTCAAGCTTGGCAGCATGCACAGTGCACGGTGCCAGCCTGCCCTGCCCTGGTTTGCCTTGGCTGCAGCACCACTCTCTTCTGCTGCCTTTTCTCTTCCCTTTGGCCCTTGGTGCAGGTGAGCTCTCAGCCACACCTCTCTGCCATCTCTGCCCCTTTTGCCCCCAGCCCTGGGGCCCTCGAGGATGCAGGGCACATGTCTTTAGACTCTGAAGTCTTCCGTGCTGGAGAACCCCATGAATCAACTTGACTCACTTTTCTTGGTGTCAGCCCATGGCGCTTGTTAGCGTTCTCTGAAGGTGCTTGTGCCATCCTGTCCCCTCGCTAGGGTGCATTATCTCATGAGTGAGAGCCGTCTTTATCCTGAACCAATTCGTTTTGGGAAAAGTACAACACTGTGGTTACAATACCAGGTCCCCCAGACTTTTGCAAGCCCCTTCCACCCGGAACCAACCCGCCTTCTCTCTGCTCTCACCAAGAGCAGAAGCATAACGCCTTATAAGCACCTCCTGCCCCAAACCTGTACACTGGCAGCCCCACACTCATTCTGGAGTGACAGGGCAGCAGACCTTGCCCCAGAAGCCCTCAGGCCAGCAGGCAAAAGCACCCCACAATCTCCTGGGCCTCAGAGCCCTGGCAGTTCATACACACTCCCAAAGCTCCAAACCATCCGTCCATCAGTACATTGTGAGAATGTGTTCTGCATTTCTTCTTTGAAGGCCAGAATTTCTAATGCTTAAAAAATAAGACTAATGTATGTATTTATATTTATGAACTTTATTGTATATATGCATTGTAAAGCCAAGCCTCATGAAATTTTTAAAATATAAACAGGCACATTTTTAAATGTACTATATTAGAAGAATTTTTAAAAAACCCACAAATAGGTCTTTTAAATGTGGTTTAGTGTGGGGAAAAAAAAATTTAAATAAAAACACAAGTAGGAAGAAACTCCTAGTAAAAAGAAACACTTTTGGCTGGGTGCAGTGGCTCACACCTGTAATCCCAGCATTTTGAGAGGCCAAGGTGGGAGGATCACAAGGTCAAGAGATCAAGATCATTCTGGCCAACATGGCGAAACACCGTCTCTACTAAAAATACAAAAATTAGCCGGGCGTGGCAGCATGTGCCTGTAGTCCCAGCTACTCAGAAAGCTGAGGCAGGAGAATTGCTTGAACCCGGAAGGCCGAGGCTGCAGTGAGCTGAGATTACACCACTGCACTCCAGCCTGCTTGACAGAGTGCGACTCCAGCTCAAAAAAGAAAAATAAAAAAAAAACCCTTTTTTTCCTCAGAAAATGAATGTTCTTGGTGACACTGTTAAATTAGTGAATATATTCTTTTTTTGTTTTTCTTTTTGAGACAGAGTCTTGCTCTGTCACTCAGGCTGGAGTGCAGTGGTGTGATCTCATCTCACTTCAGCATCCACTTCGTGGATTCAAGTGATTCTTGTGCTTCAGCCTCCTGAGTTGCTGGGATTACAGGTGCCACCACCACGTCGGGCTAATTTTTGTGTTTTTTTCTTATGAGACGGAGTCTTGCTCTGTTGCCCAGGCTGTAGTGCAGTGGTATGATCTCGGCTCACTGCAGCCTCCACCTTCTGGGTTCAAGCGATTCTCCTGCCTCAGACTCTCAAGTAGCTAGGATTACTGGGGCCCGCCATCACACCCAGCTAATTTTTTGTATTTTTAGTAGAGATGAGGTTTTGCCATGTTGGCCAGGCAGGTCTCAAACTCCTAACCTTAAGTGATCCACCCACCTCAGCCTCCCAAAGTGCTGGGATTACAGACGTGAGCCACCATGCCTGGCCTAACTTTTGTGTTTTCAGTGGAGACAGGGTTTCACCATGTTAGTCTCAAACTCCTGACCTCAAGCGATCTGCCCGCCTTGACCTCCCAAAGTGCTGGGATTACAGGCATGAGCCACCTCACCTGGCCAGTAAATACATTTTAATATCAAATTAGTAACTATTCTTAAACAAATAGACATATTTTCATGTTAAATGAAACGTTTTGTGTTTTATTCGAAAGAATTTTTAAATAAAATTTATCTTTCACGATGGGGAATCCATGGGTGAAATTTAACATGGTAACTGTAGACTGTCCAGGATGGATTGACCATTGTTTTTTATTTAAATAGTGTAATTGCTTACTCAGTCATCGTGGGAGCACTGATGGCAAGTGGAAAAGAAGTAGCAGGAAAAATTCCCAAAGGGAAGGTACGTTGGAGCGGGAAGGGAGAAACGCTTGTTTATGTGTTAAGTCCCAATCTACAGATTTTTATTTTAAGGTACACGAGTTACACAGATCTCCAACCAAGCCTGTGTCTTCCATGTTTACGAACATTCCTAAATGTCATTCTTTTTCAGTTAGTCGACTTTGAAGCTATGACAGCCCCTGGTTCAGAGGCCTTTAGCAAAATCGCCAAAAGCTGGATGAACTTGAAAAGGTAACTGCTTGAGGGGTATCATAACCGGAGCAGGAAAGGGGGTTTCCTTTTACTTTGGAGCTCTGTGAAAACTGGAATTGTTATACTCATTTTTATAAGTTAATATTGTAATACAATGAATGTAATCCACTTTGTCAAGGTTAAAATGTTTTGCTATTGTATAAGATAACCTTTTTTTTTTTTTTTGAGATGGAGTCTCACTCTATTGCCCAGGCTGGAGTGCAATGCCACAATCTCAGTTCACTGCAACCTCTGCCTCTCAAGTTCAAGCAATTCTTCTACCTCAGCCTCCCAGATAGCTGGGATTACAGGCATGTACCACCACAGCTGGCTAATTTTTGTATTTTTAGTAGAGATGGGGTTTCGCCATATTGGCCAGGCTAGTCTCAAACTCCTGACCTTGTGATCTGCCCGCCTTGGCCTCCCAAAGTGCTAGGATTACAGGCATGAGCCACCACGCCCGGCCAAGATAACTTTTTAAGGGTGAGTGTATGGATAAAAATGGATGATGAAGGCCAGGCACGGTGGCTCACACCTGTAATCCCAGCACTTTAGGAGGCTACGGTGGGAGGATCACTTGAGGCGCAACTAAGTAGGCTCCAGCTTTTTGAAGTTGGCACTTTATTGCCACTTAGGCAGACAGTATTGTGAGCCAGTATATAGCTGCCAGGAATTATCCCTGACAGTCACTGTGTGTAAGGAGTCTAGCAGTCCATGATCGTTCCTGGCTCTTGTTTCCAGAAGCACTAGAGAGGACTGTGTGAATCTGAAGTGTGTGAAATTAAACTCATAGATGCCTCAGTAGTTAGTAAAGAATAAGCAAGCCTCACTGTTTGGCCTTAGTTATTCTTGCCCGTTCTCCTGGTTTTTTATATCCCAACCACCCTCAGTTTTGCCTTTCACATCTATTTGACATAGCAACCACTCTTTTTTGCTGGGTAATTTATATTCTGTTTAAAACAAAAATTTGTGCTATAGTCCACCATTGCTCAGTTTGTAATTTAGCTTTGCAGTGAAAGCTTCTAACAGTTACACCCTGTCCTGGTACATTCTTGTTTCAGGTTTATTAGTTTGCACATGTTTTAGTAATATAACCACCAGGCCAAAGGTCTAGCTTCTGTTCTTACATAATTGTACAGTGTAAATCTTTTGACAACTCTTTAAGGAAAGAACAACGCTACCTTACATCGTGTAGTTAATGCTTTACGGTGTACCTTGACATACCTTATCTCATTTAGAGCTCTTGGTAACTTCGAATTAAGAATACTTTCCCTGTGACAGATCAGGGAAGTGCAGCCTAGAGAAATAAGGAAAGCTAATAAGGAGTGAAGCTGGACCTGAAACCTGTGTCTTTTGATTTCAAGCCCAGAGGCACCACAGCTGGACATGTAAATCAGAGTTTAATTTTCTTTTTCAAAGCTCTGGTTTAACTTCCAAGCAGCTCCTAGCGTGTTGGCTGATACCGATACCCTAGGCCATTGTCGTGGGAGGAGCTGTTCTGTTCCCGGTTCCTCCCTGCCTTTCTAACATTGTCTAATATTACAAATATAATTAATATAATCATAGGAATAACTATAACATAAGCTCCACCTTTTTTTGCAAATTTTGTTAGTTTTCATACCACTACTTTGTGTTTTTCTTTTTCAGCATTTCACCTTCTTATAAGACTCTTCCGTCAGTATCAGAAACATTTCCAACGTTAAGATCGATGATCGAGGTGCTAAACACAGACTCTTCTCCACGCTGTCTTAAGAAACTCTAGTTCTGCTGTGGTAATTTATACAAGTAAAGGGCCGGACCTCTTGCTTCTTAAGTTATTTTTTAGAACATGGAATTATAAAGAAATTAGGTCATCTATTACTTTTGATACCAATTTTTGATAGGAATTGAATACTTGAAATCATTTTCTTTACTTTTCTGAACCATAACAAAAGTCCTGAAAGAGGCTTTCAGGGGAAAAATCTACTTGACTTGGAGGGAAAGTGTACGTGTTAGCCAGCGGCCTATTGGTTTCCACTTATAAAGTCATATAACTCCTTCCTTACAGTAAAAAAACATTTTCTTCAACAACTAAAAAATAATGATGAAGTGAACAAGAACAAAACCAAATAGGTTTGTATTCCTTTAGAGATCTGGATATTTTTCAAAGAGTTTCTATGCACATTGTGATAGAGCATCTTTTGTTGACTCACGCAACCTCCATGTGTGAGTCCTTTGTTTTATTTGAACCCTGGTAGAAGGTTCCTGGGCCATCAGTATGTGTTGAAGAGCTCACAGCCAGGAGCAATTATTTTGAACAATGCAGGCAGTATTTGTCAATGTCCCAAACGCTGAATTATTGAACAATGTGTTTTTTTTCTTTGTTGAAAAAAAATAAACTGGGGTGATTTCTATAAATCACCAGTGTTTGGCACTGGATTATGTATGTGTTTATTTTGTGAACCAGTTTCACTTTCAGGTATAAGAACATTCAGAAAATTTCTCTTATTTTTTTTCCCAGACAGGGTGGATGACAGTGGGTAAAATGGGTTAATGAAAACTAATTGCCGTTTCCAAATGGCACCGCCCATTAGCAAGCCTGCTCTTCTCTCCCTTCTACAGGACGCACCCCCAGCTCTTTACTTGGCCACTTCTCCCAGTCCGTTGTCATTTCTCTTGGACCACTTCCGTAGTCTCCTGACTCATCTTCTTGCTGCTGCTCTGTTTAAATCCCACAGCCCCCGCTTTGTCCTAAAATGAAATGCAGTCCCCTGCTATGGCCTAGCTGACTTGGCCCTGTTTCTCTGATTGCATCTCTTTCTCCCCACACTCCTTTTTTAGTACCATCCACTCACCTAGCCTTTTCCTTCCTTGAGAACCTTACAGTTAGCTTGACACTGTCCGATAGAACATTCTGTGATGACGTTCCAGAATGTTCTGTGTGCTGCCAGTATGGTAGTCAGTAACTTCATGTTGCTACTGAGCACTTGAAACAGGACTAGTGTGCCTGAGGAGCTGAGCTTCACATTTAGTGTTAATTAATTTAAATTCAAATAGCTACATGTAGCTAGTGGTTATTATGTTGGCCCATGCAGCCTACGGAGTTCCTAGTGAGACTTTATAGGTCTCACAGAAATTTTTGCACAGAAACAATTCAGAATGGTGTTCTCCCGTGGCAGTTTAATATCATTTTGAATTTGAGGTTGAAATATCATTTTGAATTACTCGGGCAAGTCTTAGCTACTCAGACTTGTCCGAGTAGCTAAGCTCTTACTATGATCTGTTTTTATTCACAAGAGTTCTGATACCAGATATGTGGAGTTTTCCCCCATACCAATCAATTCTCCAGCTTTCCATATATCAGCTGGAGTGGGGAGGGATCCTGCAATTCACATCTGACACTAACTTCCTGGAGTTCACACAGACTGTAGAGGTTAAGGGATCAGTCTCACAAGACAGCTCCCTTTTCAGATGCCAGTTGCAAGTCAGGATCTTCTGTACTTCTGACTGATTGGCTGTAACTCAGGGGTCCCATCACCCCCTGCCTCCTCATGTTTGATAATTTGCAAGAATGGCTCACACAATTCAGGGAAACCCTTTACTTGCTATTACTGATTTGTTATATTGGATACACGTGAACAGCCAAATGGAAGAGGTACACAGGGCAAGGTATGAGGGGGGCAGCGTGGGTGCTTCCATGCCTTCTCCAGGCCCACCACCCTCCCTGCACCTCAATATGTTCACCAACCAAAAACCCCAAACCTTTTGACTTTACATCATTGGCAGTTAGCTCAATCCTCAGCCCCTCTTTTCTCTCTGGAGGCTGGGGGTTGGGACTGAAAGTTACTCTAATCACATGGTTAGTTCCTCTGGCTCCCAACCCCCGTCCTCCAAGAGTCACCTCATCAGCAGAAATTCAGGTATGGTTGAAAGGTGCTTATTAACAAAAAACACTTCTCAGCCTGATCGCTCAGAAAACCCGAGAGTTTTGCAAGCTCTGTGCCAGGAACTGGAGGGCAGAGATCAGCCATATCTTTCTTATTACTTCAGTATCACACTTCTATTGATAAAATTGGTCCTGTGAATCAAGATGTTTGAACTTTTAAAAAACTGACTTTAAAAAATCTAGAGCAAAATTTGTTAGTACATTAAGAAATTTAGTGTGGAATTTCTTTGGTATAGAAACTATATGAGGGTCAACAAACTGACATCTAAATCTGTGATCATTACTCTGATCATTTGGAAATAAGGAATAAAATTGATACACCTCAGAAGAGAGATGAGCAAAATCACCTAAAGAAACCCAGTGTGTCCCATATCAGCAAAATCTGACTGTTCATGAGTACATCTTAAGATGTCTGTAATCAGGCTCATCATTCCTTCACCCAAAGTCTGTTCCTCCCCACTCTTCCCCGTGTCAGAGATGGCTCCCTCTTCACTCAGCGGCTTTAGCCAGACACCCAGGCAGCCTGTGCTGCCCTCCTGCAGTTTTCAAATCATCACCATGAGCCACTGCACCCAGCCACATATGACTTCTTTCCGAATGAAGACTGAGATCAAGCAATCCAGAGTAGGCAAGCAAAAAAAAAAAAAGCCAACAAGAAAGCAGACAGAAGAGAGCAGAAGCCAAGGGAAAGATAGGTCCATGGACAGAGGAGAAGGAGGGGTCAGATCAGAGGCTAAGGTAGAAGTGAGCAATGCTGGAGCCCAGTACCACTACCAGGAGACGCGGGAGTGGGTAACAGTTTGGGCGACACTGATGGTAGCTGGTGGGAAAGCCTTCTAGAAGCTTCCAAAAGCTCTGCCCTGGTGTTGGCACACTAGTCTTCTGTCCTGGGATTTGATAACATAACTGTCTGATTCACTTTGGCTTTTCTTCCTTTGACTTTTCCAGATTCCGTCACAGCTCTGAGACTCCAAGTAAAACCGTGTCCAAACGTCTTACAGGATGCTCCCAGGAACTGCATGATCCTCGTTTTTGAAACTTCAAGTGCTGGCTAAGTAAGGGGATGTATTTATTAGTCCATTCTCGAAGGGTTATAAAGAAATGCCTGCGATTGGGTAATTTATAAAGAAAAGAGGTTGAATTGGCTCATGGTTCTGCAGGCTGCCCAGCAAGCATGGCTGTGGAGGCCTCAGGACGGTAAGGGCAGGTGAAGCGGGAGCAAGCACTTGCTTTGTCACTCAGACTGGAGTGCAGTGGCACAATCATTGCTCACTTCAGCCTCCAACTCTTGGCCTTAAGTGATCCTCTTGCCTTAGCCTCCCAAAGTGCTGGGATCACAGGTGTGAGCCACCGCACCTGGTAACTACTTTATAATTTCTGAAGCCAACATATAAACAAATGCAATAAAAGTTATCTAAATAAGTGGCTCTTTTTAGAAATAGTTTGGAGAAAGTAATTCAATACCTCTTATTTATAGTTTTGTAATGTTCTTTTTAAATGCTTCTTACAATATCTTGAAAGTTAAGATCTTTCAAAGAAAAATTTTGAAAAGTGTCCTGGCCTGAAGTCATCATGTTTTAGAAATCAAGTTTTTAAAACATCTTAAAAAGCTGTGTCTTTAGTATGCAATATTTAAACATTGCCTGCAGTTCCAGAATAACAGTAACCCTAACGATAGATATGATTGAAAAAGGTGGCCAGGTCCAAAAGAGACACTGCTTTGGGGGAAAATGGCAATCCCATTGTTCCGCATAAACCGCTGGCTTTTCATTAGCCTGAGTGAGAGGCTTGAGAACAGGGAAGTATCCAAAGGGAATTTCTCAGTTGATAATCCCCTGGCAGAGAGGTTGAGTTAGGTGCGTCTCCCTTGATACGGTTTGGATCTGTGTCCCCGTCCAAATCTCATGCGGAGTTGTAACCCCCAGTATTGGAGCTGGGGTCTGGGTGGTGACTGGATCATGGGGGCGGTTTCCCATGGTTTGGCACTGTCCCCCCTTGTTACTGACATCCAGTGGTTTAAAGGTGTGTGGCCCCGCCCCCTTCTCTCGCTTGCTCCCGCTTCACCTGCCCTTACCGTCCTGAGGCCTCCACAGCCATGCTTGCTGGGCAGCCTGCAGAACCGTGAGCCAATTCAACCTCTTTTCTTTATAAATTACCCAATCGCAGGCATTTCTTTATAACCCTTCAAGAATGGACTAATAAATACATCCCCTTACTTAGCCAGCACTTGAAGTTTCAAAAATGAGGATCAAGCAGTTCCTGGGAGCATCCTGTAAGACGTTTGGACACAGGTTTTACTTGGAGTCTCAGAGCTGTGACGGAATCTGGAAAAGTCAAAGGAAGAAAAGCCAAAGTGAATCAGACAATTATGTTATTAAATCCCAGGACAGAAGACTAGTGTGCCAACACCAGGGCAGAGCTTTTGGAAGCTTCTAGAAGGCTTTCCCACCAGCTACCATCAGTGTCGCCCAAACTGTTACCCACTCCCGCGTCTCCTGGTAGTGGTACTGGGCTCCAGCATTGCTCACTTCTACCTTAGCCTCTGATCTGACCCCTCCTTCTCCTCTGTCCATGGACCTATCTTTCCCTTGGCTTCTGCTCTCTTCTGTCTGCTTTCTTGTTGGCTTTTTTTTTTTTTTTTGCTTGCCTACTCTGGATTGCTTGATCTCAGGCTTCATTCGGAAAGAAGTCATATGTGGCCGGGTGCAGTGGCTCATGCCTGTAAGCCCAGCACTTTGGGAGGCCAAGGCGGGCAGATCACAAGATCAAGAGATGGAGACCATCCTGGCCAACATAGTGAAACCCCATCTCTACTAAAAATACAAAAATTAGGTGGGCATGGTGGTGTGCACCTGTAGTCCCAGCTACTGGGAGGCTGAGGCAGGATAATTGCTTGAACCTGGGAGGTGGAGGTTGCAAGTGAGCCAAGATCGAGCCACTGCACTCTGGCCTGGCGACAGATTGAGACTCCATCTAAAAAAAAAAAAAAAGAAGTCATATGTAATAAGACAAAGTGATAATGATTTTAAAAGAGCAACATCAGAGTAGCTGTGGGCAAGCTGAAGGACCCAATTATTTCCACCTGAGGTGGGTAGCTGTGAGGGGCTATGCAGAGGAGGTGTGAAGAACGTGGGACAGCAGAGGATGAGTAGAAATGTGCCGGGTAGCAAAGGAGCTTCCCAGCAGAGGCATAGTTGGGGAAAATGTTGGGAGAGGTGAAAGTGCCAGTCTGCTTGGGATGGCTTGCAGAGGCAGCCGGAAATGGAATGCGGGGCAGTGGGGGAGGTCTTGCCATCATCCTAAGGAATTTGGACATCATTCTCTAGGTAGTTTGTAAAGCATGGGAATGACTTGACTTGGGAAGATCATTCACCATCAACACCAAGGATGGCTTAAAAGAGAGCAGGTTTGCTCCTGCCCCCGACATGGTTCTTCTTTGCATCCTTGGCCCTCTCATGCTTCAGTCCCATCCTTAACTGGGACCGCGTTTCAT